TATGTGTAGATTAAGTCACCAAATTTTCAGCCTTGCAGCTTTTGTGGATCTCGAGATGAAAACTCGCTACAGACGAACACACAGACACACACACACATACATACACATATACATACATACATACACACACGCGCACATACACAGACAACCCCTCGACAACATGCGTTTTTGCATTGCATAGCTGCAAAAAACGCATAAAAACGAATGCTAACGATTGATTCCGGTCCTTATGTTTGATTATTTTAACTGTTCGGGACAAATATTTTCCAATAATCCCAAGCGGCGTTTTCGTTCCATACTCTGACAATAAATTGTAATTCCGTCGATTAACAATATCTCGTCTTGTGCGAAAACTGAAGCGATTAGCGGAAATGGGCAGTAGAATGTGCTTATGTCGGATCTTTTCGCGCTCTTTTGACCAGCTTTTCAAAATACTAAAATGTGACCTGCCTGAAAGTATAAGCATACAAACTTCGCGCACTTCATAGCCACTGACATTAATACAGTTACAATGGAAGGAGACAGAGACGGTTATGTTGCGTGCAGAGAAAAAAACAAAGCAACACACTTTTTACATTATACTAGCGAAAGTTTTTTATTATCTACATGAAATAGTAACTGCGTGCTTTATAACTGAATGTTCACCCACCTATCAGGATTGTGCCGGCGCAGTCTTCTATATGAATTAATTGCGGTGTGGCGGCTCTACATCTGATTTCTCGAATCAAGTCTCAGCAGAAATGGGCTAAGGTTGCAGCCGTCCCGACCCAAAAAGTGTTCCGATTGTGTTTAAGTCGGAGTATGCTAGTATTGAATCAATAACTTTTCAACCGAATTTAAAATACTTGTCTCCGGAAAAAATGTTTCTTGCTGCGTACCAAAAAATCAGGTACTGCTATATATTGCTACAACAAGTTATTGCAGATAATCAGCTTATAACTGTAACAATACAAACGGAAGACTCTGTTAATATTTGTTTTTCGTAAGTCCAGCGTCAGAAAAGCTCGGATTTATGATTTGCTTCGTTTTGGGACTGTAACATCAGCTGGTACTTGGACTTGCAATCGTAAATCAGAAATTGAAACTTGAATAGTAATTTCAAGAAATACAATTCCATCTTAAGTAATCAATAGAAACCCCAGATTTTCCGCCCCTGAATTTATCTGGTCAGATACGGAACCTAATTTTTTGCTATTCGTTTCGAATTATTCGAAGAATTAACATGAATATGAAGATTTCTCGGAAAATCGGTGTAGAACTTATGTTGGTGGAGTTAAAAAAGCAAGCATACAAAACTGATGCAGATTTTCATTAATTATTAAAATAAATCTTGCCTACTGGCTCACAACATTAGCCGTTTTATACTAAGTGCTTAAATAAGGCTAAATTATTACTGTGGATTTGTAGGCAGATTTTTTAACACAAAATTTCTTATTACTAAAGTCACAGCCGTAGAAAAAAACAAACCAGTTGAACAGCGTGAATAATGAGCAGATTTGGCATCGATAGCTTGAACCACACAACGAGCTTGCTCAACGATGTTTTGGGCATTCCGTGAGCATTTGTACAGTTTGTTGCGGTGATATTCATTGAGGGTTTCAGCGCTGGAACACTGCGCATTTTGATCCTTAGATTCTGCCTCATAGAAACACGCTTATCAAAAAGCAGTCCATTTAATCACAACTAAAAATCTAACCCCTTCCCTTTCCCTACCTTTCGCTCCGTAATTCACCCTCTTGGAGAAGCTGAGGTACTCAAGAATAGACGATGGAGTGGTAGCACATGCCAACAGCAGTCTTCTGGTGGCTTCATTTTTTGGACCAGATAAAGGCAGTTTGTATATTTCATATCAAATTTTTTCTTTCACTTCTTTTTTAAGTCATAGCTAAATAAAGTACATAATGCTATCTCACATACTGTCTCTTAGCAATAGCGGACATGATACTGCTGATTCCCTGATAAACCCATCGTTCATAGAGTTCGATTCCAGCTTCTGTTGATATACGAATATTCAACTTTTTACCATCATAGTACTGCGCACCTGGCATTGTTCCTTGCGTATACTGTATTGAGCAAATTGTTAAGCGGTCTTTGGGGAAGGCTGAAAAAACATTAGTTCAGTGATAAAAACTTATGAGAGAAATTAAGCCAAGTTTGGTTGTGTGGAACAGATAATAATGTACGCCGTGAAATTACACATTTTCACAATGAACTTCCGCAGACATGTAGTTGACAGATGATTTAACAAAAGCGGTGGTTGACGACCGCGTGAAAACAATCAAGGAGAATACATATGCTCGAAAAACATGCCCCTTTTCACTATTCCGGTCCGTACACCGACCGACAGGGGCTTAAGGCATGGGAATTCCATATTTTCTCAACTTTTCACGATCTGTCTCAAGGTGGCGTTTTGGAAGTTGGGGAAGAAAGATTGTGTGGAAATCAGCTGCGAGTGGCTAAAGTACCTATGCTAGTGAAGTGAAGAAGCGACTTTGAAAATAATGTATCCAAAGCCAAAGTGACGCAGAGTGCCGGTGTGCCCGCACACCCAGCTTGCAGATATAAGACCCAGGCTGGAACGCACCGGACGGGCCCGTGCGATCATGCGTTTTTGCATAGGACTTGAAGTACT